TAGTCTGGCTGTCAGACGGCTCCCCTCCTTCCAACTGGCTGTCAGACGGCTCCCCTCCTTCCAACTGGCTGTCAGACGGCTCCCCTCCTTCCAACTGGCTGTCAGACGGCTCCCCTCCTTCCAACTGGCTGTCAGACGGCTCCCCTCCTTCCAACTGGCTGTCAGACGGCTCCCCTCCTTCCAACTGGCTGTCAGACGGCTCCCCTCCTTCCAACTGGCTGTCAGACGGCTCTCCTCCTTCCAACTGGCTGTCAGACGGCTGCCCTCCTTCCAACTGGCTGTCAGACGGCTGCCCTCCTTCCAACTGGCTGTCAGACGGCTCCCCTCCTTCCAACTGGCTGTCAGACGGCTCCCCTCCTTCCAACTGGCTGTCAGACGGCTGCCCTCCTTCCAACTGGCTGTCAGACGGCTGCCCTCCTTCCAACTGGCTGTCAGACGGCTGCCCTCCTTCCAACTGGCTGTCAGACGGCTCCCCTCCCCTCCTTCCAACTGGCTGTCAGACGGCTCCCCTCCTTCCAACTGGCTGTCAGACGGCTCCCCTCCTTCCAACTGGCTGTCAGACGGCTGCCCTCCTTCCAACTGGCTGTCAGACGGCTGCCCTCCTTCCAACTGGCTGTCAGACGGCTGCCCTCCTTCCAACTGGCTGTCAGACGGCTCCCCTCCCCTCCTTCCAACTGGCTGTCAGACGGCTGCCCTCCTTCCAACTGGCTGTCAGACGGCTCCCCTCCTTCCAACTGGCTGTAAGACGGCTCTCCTCCTTCCAACTGGCTGTCAGACGGCTCCCCTCCTTCCAACTGGCTGTCAGACGGCTCCCCTCCCCTCCTTCCAACTGGCTGTCAGACGGCTCCCCTCCCCTCCTTCCAACTGGCTGTCAGACGGCTCCCCTCCTTCCAACTGGCTGTCAGACGGCTCCCCTCCTTCCAACTGGCTGTCAGACGGCTCCCCTCCTTCCAACTGGCTGTCAGACGGCTCCCCTCCTTCCAACTGGCTGTCAGACGGCTCCCCTCCTTCCAACTGGCTGTCAGACGGCTCCCCTCCTTCCAACTGGCTGTCAGACGGCTCCCCTCCTTCCAACTGGCTGTCAGACGGCTCTCCTCCTGTCCAACTGGCTGTCAGACGGCTCCCCTCCTTCCAACTGGCTGTCAGACGGCTCCCCTCCTTCCAACTGGCTGTCAGACGGCTCCCCTCCTTCCAACTGGCTGTCAGACGGCTCCCCTCCTTCCACTGGCTGTCAGACGGCTCCCCTCCCCTCCTTCCAACTGGCTGTCAGACGGCTCCCCTCCTTCCAACTGGCTGTCAGACGGCTCCCCTCCCCTCCTTCCAACTGGCTGTCAGACGGCTCCCCTCCTTCCAACTGGCTGTCAGACGGCTCCCCTCCCCTCCTTCCAACTGGCTGTCAGACGGCTGCCCTCCCTTCCAACTGGCTGTCAGACGGCTCCCCTCCTTCCAACTGGCTGTCAGACGGCTCCCCTCCCCTCCTTCCAACTGGCTGTCAGACGGCTCCCCTCCCTCCTTCCAACTGGCTGTCAGACGGCTCCCCTCCTTCCAACTGGCTGTCAGACGGCTCCCCTCCTTCCAACTGGCTGTCAGACGGCTCCCCTCCTTCCAACTGGCTGTCAGACGGCTCCCCTCCTTCCAACTGGCTGTCAGACGGCTGCCCTCCTTCCAACTGGCTGTCAGACGGCTCCCCTCCCCTCCTTCCAACTGGCTGTCAGACGGCTCCCCTCCTTCCAACTGGCTGTCAGACGGCTCCCCTCCCCTCCTTCCAACTGGCTGTCAGACGGCTCCCCTCCTTCCAACTGGCTGTCAGACGGCTCCCCTCCTTCCAACTGGCTGTCAGACGGCTCCCCTCCCCTCCTTCCAACTGGCTGTCAGACGGCTCCCCTCCTTCCAACTGGCTGTCAGACGGCTGCCCTCGTCCAGCTTCTTTCTCCTTGAGTCTGTTTTGAGTCGGGCTTTAGGGGACCTCAGCCGCTTCATACCCTGCAGCGTGACAATGATGGAGGCGAGCGGCGACATGCTCTTTAGTTTGAGGAGGACTGACGGTGGCCACCGTACGGCGCCTGAGGATCATCTGCTTGTTCTTGACTGTTACATGGTGTACAAGCGCTATCTTTGTAATCTAACGTGTTGTCAAGGAATAGCTTCTCTTACTAGAGGTTGTCTGGCCGTCCGCCCCTCCTCTTCCCCTGGCGGACGTGGCAGACTCCTGGTGCCGCACCTTGGTCTCTTCAGGGGTGGTGCTCCGCTCGGAGAGGGAGTCGTCCTCTCTCGCCTGGCGGTGAGGGATGGTTCTCTGAGCCGACCGTGGTATCTGGCGGTGAGGGATGGTTCTCTGAGCCGACCGTGGTATCTGGAGGTGAGGGATGGTTCTCTGAGCCGACCGTGGTATCTGGAGGTGAGGGATGGTTCTCTGAGCCGACCGTGGTTCTCTGAGCCGACCGTGGTTCTCTGAGCCGACCGTGGTATCTGGAGGTGAGGGATGGTTCTCTGAGCCGACCGTGGTATCTTCCACTTTCAACGCCGCCTCGAGGAGGGCACTGGTTTCGCTGGCTTGGGACGGATCTAAGTTGTCTGCCGTCTGGATGTCGTGGCGCATGAAGTTGGCCAAACTTTCCCTGTCGGCGTTCTGGAGTACATTTTTGACCTGTAAGACACAAGCAAACAAGACACATAAATAAAGATGATATTAGTCGTTCATCCTTTTCAGACAGCCCATGGAATAGGCTCTGTTTCTATTCCAATCTAATCTGATTTAGGGCTTTGGGGAAGTCCCATCTCCTTCCACACCTCCCTCGTGTAGACAGGAAGGTTCCCATCTAATCTGATTTAGGGCTTTGGGGACGTCCCGTCTCCTTCCACACCTCCCTCGTGTAGACAGGAAGGTTCCCATCTAATCTGACTTAGGGCTTTGGGGACGTCCCGTCTCCTTCCACACCTCCCTCGTGTAGACAGGAAGGTTCCCATCTAATCTGACTTAGGGCTTTGGGGACGTCCCGTCTCCTTCCACACCTCCCTCGTGTAGACAGGAAGGTTCCCATCTAATCTGACCTCCCTCATGTAGACAGGAAGGTTCCCATCTAATCTGACTTAGGGCTTTGGGGAAGTCCCGTCTCCTTCCACACCTCCCTCGTGTAGACAGGAAGGTTCCCATCTAATCTGACTTAGGGCTTTGGGGAAGTCCCTCTCCTTCCACACCTCCCTCGTGTAGACAGGAAGGTTCCCATCTAATCTGACTTAGGGCTTTGGGGAAGTCCCGTCTCCTTCCACACCTCCCTCGTGTAGACAGGAAGGTTCCCATCTAATCTGACTTAGGGCTTTGGGGAAGTCCCGTCTCCTTCCACACCTCCCTCGTGTAGACAGGAAGGTTCCCATCTAATCTGACTTAGGGCTTTGGGGTAGTCCCGTCTCCTTCCACACCTCCCTCGTGTAGACAGGAAGGTTCCCATCTAATCTGATTTAGGGCTTTGGGGAAGTCCCATCTCCTTCCACACCTCCCTCGTGTAGACAGGAAGGTTCCCATCTAATCTGACTTAGGGCTTTGGGGACGTCCCGTCTCCTTCCACCCCTCCCTCGTGTAGACAGGAAGGTTCCCATCTAATCTGACTTAGGGCTTTGGGGAAGTCCCGTCTCCTTCCACACCTCCCTCGTGTAGACAGGAAGGTTCCCATCTAATCTGACTTAGGGCTTTGGGGACGTCCCGTCTCCTTCCACACCTCCCTCGTGTAGACAGGAAGGTTCCCATCTAATCTGACTTAGGGCTTTGGGGACGTCCCGTCTCCTTCCACACCTCCCTCGTGTAGACAGGAAGGTTCCCATCTAATCTGACATAGGGCTTTGGGGACGTCCCGTCTCCTTCCACACCTCCCTCATGTAGACAGGAAGGTTCCCATCTAATCTGACTTAGGGCTTTGGGGACGTCCCGTCTCCTTCCACACCTCCCTCATGTAGACAGGAAAGTTCCCATCTAATCTGACTTAGGGCTTTGGGGATGTCCCGTCTCCTTCCACACCTCCCTCGTGTAGACAGGAAGGTTCCCATCTAATCTGACTTAGGGCTTTGGGGACGTCCCGTCTCCTTCCACACCTCCCTCGTGTAGACAGGAAGGTTCCCATCTAATCTGACTTAGGGCTTTGGGGACGTCCCGTCTCCTTCCACACCTCCCTCGTGTAGTCAGGAAGGTTCCCATCTAATCTGACTTAGGGCTTTGGGGACGTCCCGTCTTCCACACCTCCCTCATGTAGACAGGAAGGTTCCCATCTAATCTGATTTAGGGCTTTGGGGACGTCCCGTCTCCTTCCACACCTCCCTCATGTAGACAGGAAGGTTCCCATCTAATCTGACTTAGGGCTTTGGGGACGTCCCGTCTCCTTCCACACCTCCCTCGTGTAGACAGGAAGGTTCCCATCTAATCTGACTTAGGGCTTTGGGGACGTCCCGTCTCCTTCCACACCTCCCTCGTGTAGACAGGAAGGTTCCCATCTAATCTGACTTAGGGCTTTGGGGACGTCCCGTCTCCTTCCACACCTCCCTCGTGTAGACAGGAAGGTTCCCATCTAATCTGACTTAGGGCTTTGGGGACGTCCCGTCTCCTTCCACACCTCCCTCATGTAGACAGGAAGGTTCCCATCTAATCTGACTTAGGGCTTTGGGGACGTCCCGTCTCCTTCCACACCTCCCTCGTGTAGACAGGAAGGTTCCCATCTAATCTGACTTAGGGCTTTGGGGACGTCCCGTCTCCTTCCACACCTCCCTCGTGTAGACAGGAAGGTTCCCATCTAATCTGACTTAGGGCTTTGGGGACGTCCCGTCTCCTTCCACACCTCCCTCGTGTAGACAGGAAGGTTCCCATCTAATCTGACTTAGGGCTTTGGGGACGTCCCGTCTCCTTCCACACCTCCCTCGTGTAGACAGGAAGGTTCCCATCTAATCTGATTTAGGGCTTTGGGGACGTCCCGTCTCCTTCCACACCTCCCTCATGTAGACAGGAAGGTTCCCATCTAATCTGACTTAGGGCTTTGGGGACGTCCCGTCTCCTCCCACACCTCCCTCATGTAGACAGGAAGGTTCCCATCTAATCTGAAGCTGGGCCTTCTTTCCTCCTGCGAGGCGGTGCTTGAAGCTGGGCCTTCTTTCCTCCTGCAAGGCGGTGCTTGAAGCTGGGCCTTCTTTCCTCCTGCGAGGCGGTGCTTAAATTTTTTTGGAAGTGTGAAAACCAAGTGTCCTCCCTCCGTGGTCAGTGACATCTGGACCATGGTCTGAATTTGTTTTGTGTTTCCCACCTATTAGAAATGAACAACCACACATTACGCTGCGGTGCCTGGAGTCGTTTCCCCAACCAACCGACCAACCACACATTACGCTGCGGTGCCTGGAGTCGTTTCCCCAACCAACCACACATTACGCTGCGGTGCCTGGAGTCGTTTCCCCCAACCAACCAACCAACCAACCACACATTACGCTGCGGTGCCTGGAGTCGTTTCCCCAACCAACCAACCAACCAACCACACATTACGCTGCGGTGCCTGGAGTCGTTTCCCCAACCAACCAACCAACCACATATTACGCTGCGGTGCCTGGAGTCGTTTCCCCAACCAACCAACCAACCAACCAACCAAACACACAGCTTCCATAATGCCCTCTATACATCTCTGACGTCTAAAATATAAACAGGCAGCTTCCATAACTACTTCTCAGATAGAGTTCAATGTGTCAAATCGGAGGGCCTGTTGTCTGGACCTATGGCAGTCTCTATGGGGGTGCCACAGGGTTCAATTCTTGGGCCGACTCTTTTCTCCGTGTATATCAATGATGTCGCTCTTGCTGCTGGTGACTCTCAGATCCAACTCTACGCAGACGACACCATTTTGTATACATCTGGCCCTTCATTGGACACTGTGTTAACAAACCTCCAAACGAGCTTCAATGCCATACAACACTCCTTCAGTAGCCTCCAACTGCTCTTAAACACTAGTAAAACTAAATGCATGCTCTTCAATCGAACGCTGCTGGCACCCGCCCACCCGACTAGAATCACTACTCTCGACGGGTCTGACCTAGAGTATGTGGACTACAAATACCTAGGTGTCTGGTTAGACTGTAAACTCTCCTTCCAGACTCACATTAAGCATCTCCAATCCAAAGTTCAATCTAGAATTGGCTTCCTATTTCGCAACAAAGCCTCCTTCACTCATGCTGCCAAACATGCCCTCGTAAAACTGACTATCCTACCGAGCCTTGACTTCGGCGATGTCATTTACAAAATAGCCTCCAACACTCTACTCAGCAAATTGGATGTAGTCTATCACAGTGCCATCCGTTTTGTCTCCAAAGCCCCATATACTACCCACCACTGTGACCTGTACGCTCTTGTTGGCTGGTCCTCACTACATGTTCGTCGTCAAACCCACTGGCTCCAGGCCATCTATAAATCACTGCTAGGCAAATCCCCGCCTTATCTTAGCTCATTGGTCACCATAGCAGCACCCACCCGTAGTCTGCGCTCCAGCAGGTATATCTCACTGGTCATCCACAAAGCCAACACCTCCTTTGGCCGCCATTCCTTCCAGTTCTCTGCTGCCAATGACTGGAACGAATTGCAAAAATCTCTGAAGCTGGAGACACTTATCTCCCTCACTAACTTTAAGCATCAGTTGTCAGAGCACCTTACCGATCACTGCACCTGTACACAGCCCATCTGAAATTAGCCCGCCCAACTACCTCATCCCTATATTGTTATTTATTTTGCTCTTTTGCACCCCAGTATCTCTATTTGCACATAATCTCTTGCACATCTATCATTCCAGTGTTAATACTAATTGTAATTATTTTGCACTATAGCCTATTTATTGCCTTACCTCCATAACTTGCTACATTTGCACACACTGTATATATATTTTCTGTTGTATTTTTTGACTTTATGTTTTGTTTTACCCCATATGTAACTCAGTGTTGTTGTTTTTATCGCACTGCTTTGCTTTATCTTGGCCAGGTCACAGTTGTAAATGAGAACTTGTTCTCAACTGGCTTACCTGGTTAAATAAAGGTGAAATAAATAAAAAATTAAAAAAGATAATGCCCTCTATACATCTCTGACGTCTAGAATATAAACAGGCAGCTTCCATAATGCCCTCTATACATCTCTGACGTCTAGAATAAAAACAGGCAGCTTCCATAATGCCCTCTATACATCTCTGATGTCTAGAATAAAAACAGTCAGCTTCCATAATGCCCTCTATACATCTCTGATGTCTAGAATAAAAACAGTCAGCTTCCATAATGCCCTCTATACATCTCTGACGTCTAGAATAAAAACAGTCAGCTTCCATAATGCCCTCTATACATCTCTGACGTCTAGAATAAAAACAGTGAGCTTCCATAATGCCCTCTATACATCTCTGACGTCTAGAATAAAAACAGTCAGCTTCCATAATGCCCTCTATACATCTCTGACGTCTAGAATAAAAACAGTCAGCTTCCATAATGCCCTCTATACATCTCTGATGTCTAGAATAAAAACAGTCAGCTTCCATAATGCCCTCTATACATCTCTGACGTCTAGAATATAAACAGTCAGCTTCCATAATGCCCTCTATACATCTCTGATGTCTAGAATAAAAACAGTCAGCTTCCCACTCCATAATGCCCTCTATACATCTCTGACGTCTAGAATAAAAACAGTCAGCTTCCATAATGCCCTCTATACATCTCTGACGTCTAGAATAAAAACAGGCAGCTTCCATAATGCCCTCTATACATCTCTGATGTCTAGAATAAAAACAGGCAGCTTCCATAATGCCCTCTATACATCTCTGATGTCTAGAATAAAAACAGTCAGCTTCCATAATGCCCTCTATACATCTCTGACGTCTAGAATAAAAACAGTCAGCTTCCATAATGCCCTCTATACATCTCTGACGTCTAGAATAAAAACAGTCAGCTTCCATAATGCCCTCTATACATCTCTGACGTCTAGAATAAAAACAGGCAGCTTCCATAATGCCCTCTATACATCTCTGATGTCTAGAATAAAAACAGGCAGCTTCCATAATGCCCTCTATACATCTCTGATGTCTAGAATAAAAACAGTCAGCTTCCATAATGCCCTCTATACATCTCTGACGTCTAGAATAAAAACAGTCAGCTTACATAATGCCCTCTATACATCTCTGACGTCTAGAAGAGTGGAATAACAGTGATATCACATATTGAGAAAAACGTAGTCAGCACTTCAGGGATCTTGACCTTGGCAAGAGACTGGTTCTCCAGCAGGCTCTTTTTGGACACCACCTTCCTTACATTTTACATTTTTAGTCATTTAGCAGACGCTCTTATCCAGAGCGACTTACAGTTAAGTGAGTGCATACATTTTTCATACTGCCCCCCCCCCGTGGGAAACGAACCCACAACCCTGGCGTTGCAAACGCCATGCTCTACCAACTGAGCTACACGGGGAGACTATAACGCCCCTTCCTTGTCGTCGTTCACCTTCGCCTGGTGAAGCTGCTCCCTTCATCACCCGGTTGATCCCACTCCATTGGTTTCTGGTCAGCCGGCAGCCAGGTGGCGGTGTCTCCTCGGCGTATTGAAGAAATGCACCGATAGTCAAGGTGTAGTTGGTGACCGTGGCGATGTCCTTGTTCTTCTGAAGGGTCTGAACCCATCTAAAAAATAAATAAAAAACACACACATCATACAATCAATCCGTGTATTAGTGCACGAACAACTGATGAGACTAAAGTGAAAGAAAGAACTCTGCTTACCTCCTCATCTTGTCATGGTTCTTCAGGAAAGAGAGAGTGGAAGGGTAAATCTCGTCCTTTGCCATGTACATCACAAATTGCTGAACCCTCTTGAACTTCGCGTCACAATTTTCCTTCAGCTTATCGTTTGGATTGGGGCCCTCACAGGTCTTCCTGAATCCCTCCATAAACACACCTAATCAAAGAAACGTGATTAGGTAGGTAGGTGATCAAATACTTATGTCATGCAATGAGATGCAAATTAATTACTTAAAAATCATACAATGTGATTTTCTGGATTTTTGTTTTAGATTCCGTCTCTCACAGTTGAAGTGTACCTATGATAAAAATTACAGACCTTTACATGCTTTGTAAGTAGGAAAACCTGCAAAATCGGCAGTGTATCAAATACTTGTTCTCCCCACTGTATATATTAAGGCATGTATAGAGATATATATATATATATATATATATATAGGTATAGAGGCATTCAGGCATGTATAGAGATATATTTACATTTACATTTTAGTCATTTACATTTTTTACATTTAGCAGACGCTCTTATCCAGAGCGACTTACAGTTAGTGAGTTCATACATTTTTCACACTGGCCCCCCATGGGAAACGATCCCACAACCCTGGCGTTGCAAGCGCCATGCTCTACCAACTGAGCTACAGGAGGGCCCTCACGACATGGTTCCAGTAATGCCTGGCGAAAACCAAACTCTGCATTCCACAGTAAGAACATCATCCCAAAGGTCAAGCATGGTGGTGGTGGTGTGATGGTTTGGGGATGCTTTGCTGCCTCAGGACCTGGACGACTTGCCTTAATAGAAGGAACCATGAATTCTGCTCTGTATCAGAGAATTCTACAGGAGAATGTCAGACCATCCGTCTGTGAGCTGAAGCTGAAGCGCAGCTGGATCATGCAGCAAGACAATGATCCAAAACACACAATCAAGTCTACATGAAAATTGCTAAAAAGCAACACATTTGAAAGTCCAGACCTAATCCCAATTGAGATGTTGAGGCAGGACTTGAAACGAGCAGTTCATGCTTGAAAACCCACACGTCACTGAGTTAAAGCAGTTCTGCATGGAAGAGTGGGCCAAAATTCCTCCACAGCGACGTGAGAGACTGATCAACAACTACAGGAAGCATTTGGTTGGAGTCATTGCAGCTAAAGGTGGCACAATCAGTTATTGAGTGTAAGGGGGCAATTCCTTTTTCACACAGGGGAATTGGGTGTTGCATAACTTTGTTTATGAAATAAATATGTAATTGTTGTGTTATTACATATATATGTAATATATATATATATATATATATATATATATATATAAAGGCAACAGAGGCAGTCAGGTAGTTTTTCTAATCCATTTCAAAACCCAAATACTTTTGAAGACAGATAGAGAAGCATTTGATGCTATTCACTCAGATTAATCAAATCAAAGTTTAAATAGTCACATTCACAGTCAGGACGCAGATATAATTGCAGGTGACATTGTTCTGAGCTCCAACAGCAGGTCAATAATAACAACAACAGTAATAATCCATCTGGGAGGGAAATCAGCCTAACAGGTTGCCTGGCAGGTTACTGTGGGCAACCCCACTGACCAATGATGGGCCATTAAACTCAATGTGAACTCAGGATGGGGTCTGGGAAGAGTGAAGCAGGCCATACACAGCGGAGGATGGGTCCTACAGAAGTCTACACAGCGGAGGATGGGCCCTACAGAAGTCTACACAGCGGAGGATGGGTCCTACAGAAGTCTACACAGCGGAGGATGGGTCCTACAGAAGTCTACACAGCGGAGGATGGGCCCTACAGAAGTCTACACAGCGGAGGATGGGCCCTACAGAAGTCTACACAGCGGAGGATGGGTCCTACAGAAGTCTACACAGCGGAGGATGGGCCCTACAGAAGTCTACACAGCGGAGGATGGGCCCTACAGAAGTCTACACAGCGGAGGATGGGCCCTACAGAAGTCTACACAGCGGAGGATGGGCCCTACAGAAGTCTACAAAGCGGAGGATGGGTCCTACAGAAGTCTACACAGCGGAGGATGGGTCCTACAGAGGTCTACACAGCAGAGGATGGGTCCTACAGAAGTCTACACAGCGGAGGATGGGTCCTACAGAAGTCTACACAGCGGAGGATGGGCCCTACAGAAGTCTACACAGCGGAGGATGGGCCCTATAGAAGTCTACAAAGCGGAGGATGGGCCCTACAGAAGTCTACACAGCGGAGGATGGGTCCTACAGAAGTCTACACAGCGGAGGATGGGCCCTACAGAAGTCTACACAGCGGAGGATGGGCCCTACAGAAGTCTACACAGCGGAGGATGGGTCCTACAAAAGTCTACACAGCAGAGGATGGGCCCTACAGAAGTCTACACAGCGGAGGATGGGCCCTACAGAAGTCTACACAGCGGAGGATGGGCCCTGCAGAAGTCTACACAGCGGAGGATGGGTCCTACAGAAGTCTACACAGTGGAGGATGGGTTCTACAGAAGTCTACACAGCGAAGGATGGGTTCTACAGAAGTCTACACAGCGGAGGATGGGTCCTACAGAAGTCTACACAGCGGAGGATGGGTCCTACAGAAGTCTACACAGCGGAGGATGGGTCCTACAGAAGTCTACACAGCGGAGGATGGGCCCTACAGAAGTCTACACAGCGGAGGATGGGCCCTTTAGAAGTCTACAAAGCGGAGGATGGGCCCTACAGAAGTCTACACAGCGGAGGATGGGTCCTACAGAAGTCTACACAGCGGAGGATGGGCCCTACAGAAGTCTACACAGCGGAGGATGGGCCCTACAGAAGTCTACACAGCGGAGGATGGGTCCTACAGAAGTCTACACAGCAGAGGATGGGCCCTACAGAAGTCTACACAGCGGAGGATGGGCCCTACAGAAGTCTACACAGCGGAGGATGGGCCCTACAGAAGTCTACACAGCGGAGGATGGGCCCTACAGAAGTCTACACAGCGGAGGATGGGTCCTACAGAAGTCTACACAGTGGAGGATGGGTTCTACAGAAGTCTACACAGCGGAGGATGGGTTCTACAGAAGTCTACACAGCGGAGGATGGGCCCTACAGAAGTCTACACAGCAGAGGATGGGTCCTACAGAAGTCTACACAGCGGAGGATGGGTTCTACAGAAGTCTACACAGAGGAAGATGGGCCCTACAGAAGTCTACACAGCGGAGGATGGGTCCTACAGAAGTCTACACAGCTGAGGATACAATTATCTGTAAGGTCCCTCAGTCGAGCAGTGAATTTCAAACACTGATTCAACGACAAAGACTATGGTTCTCCAATGCCTCGTAAAAAAGGGCACCTATTGGTAGATGGGTAAAATAAAATAAAAAGCAGACATTGAATATCCCTTTGAGCATGGTGAAGTTATTAATTACACTTTGGATGGTGTATCAATACACCCAGTCACTCAGGGATTTCACCATGAGGCCAATGCCGACTTTAAAACAATTACGGAGTTTAATGGCTGTGATAGGAGAAAACTGAGGATGGATCAACAACATTGTAGTTACTCCACAATACTAACCTAACTGACAGAGTGGAAAAGACGGAAGCCTGTACAGAATACAAATATTTCAAAACATGCATCCTGTTTGCACCAAAGCACTAAAGTAGTACTGCAAAAAATGTGGCAAAGCAATTCACTTACGATTGGGGCAAATCCAATACAACACATTACTGTGTACCACTCTTCATATTTTCAAGCATAGTGGTGGCTGCATCATGTTATGGGTATGCTTGCATTCATTAAGAACTGGAGAGTTTTTCAGGATAAAAAAATAAACAGAATGGAGCTAAGCACATGCAAAATCCTAGAGGAAAACCTGGTTCAGTCTGCTTTCCACCAGACACTGGGAGATGAATTCACCTTTCAGCAGGAAAATAACCTAAAACACAAGGCCAAATCTACACTGGAGTTGCTTACCAATAAGACAGTGAATGTTCCTGAGTGTCCGAGTTGACTTAAATCTGCTTGAAAATCTACGGCAAGACCTGAAAATGGCTGTCTAGCAATATTCAACAACCAATTTGACAGAGCTTGAAGAATCTTGAAAATAATAATGGGCAAATGTTGCACAATCCAGCTGTGAAAAGCTCTTAGAGACTTACCCAGAGAGACTCACAGCTGTAATCGCAGCCAAAGGTGCTTCTACAAAGTATTGACTCAGGGGTGTGAATACATTTGCAAATTCGATATTTCTGTATTTCATTTTCAATACATTTGCAAATATTTCTACAAACATGTTTTCACTTTGTCATTATATATGATGTATTGTGTGTAGATGGTTGGGAGAAAATAATAAATGTCATCCATTTTGAATTCAAGCTGTAACACAACAAAATGTAACACAACAAAATGTGGAATAAGTCAAGGGGTTTGAAGGCACTATAACTGTGATTAGCTGGACCCAAACATTTTTTTCTACAACGTGAACAAAAAAAAAAGTCGGACTTTTCAAATACAACTACTTTGCACTATTTAAAAGACAGTACTTACTCAGAGCAGAGCCCGGGAGGGGAATTTGGCTGCTAGATCCGGACGCCGTGGCCTCCTCTGTCTGGGACCCTGAACCCGTGGCTTGGTCCTGCTGCAGTTCCTCTTGCTCCGTGTCTGACCCAGGAGGAGACTGCTCGGCCTGAAACCTGGACCTCTTTGCTGACCTCGCCGTCTGCCTTCTCAGTAGCTCGTACCTCTTCCTGGCTCTGTTCAGTTCAGAGGTCAGCTTCAGGTTGTCCTCTCTAACGGATTGGATGGTCTCGCCGCTCTTGGTCAGGGCCTCGTCCCTCTCTTGCACAGCTTTCTGCAGCCTCAGGATCACCGCTTGGCAGTGGCAGGAATCATCTTCGCAGCCCACGTCCTCCTCTTCCTCTTCCTTTAGCCGTGAATCTAAAGAGTCCTCCTCCTGTTCTTGCTTTGCAGCTTCCACAATGTCCAAATGGGTGGCCAGTGGGATGACAGGGTTGGATGCCCTCAACGTGGCCAGCCGCTCCATGGTCAGCTGTCTCCTGAGCTCCTCCAAAGCCCGTCTCCTCTGCGTTCTGTTGAGTTCTGTGTGTGAGTTCATGTGCCGGTCTAGCCTGCTGACGTGGGCGGAGCATCCCGTCACTGGACACGGCTCCTGCCTGATATTGACGCGGCCTGACTGCCAATGACAAAGGATCACCCTCTCCTCCGTGTTCCGCACATTGTGCACCTGCCTTAGGTGCTGACTGAAGCCGACCACGACCTTAGGGCAAAGCGGACACGAACGCATTGCAGAGCGCACCGGAGCCATCTCTAGTATGGAAAAGTAAAATAACAATCAATTAAAAACCACAACAAAATCAGTGAAGTAATCCAACAGGTTGAATGCTCCAGGCTGCTTAGTTGTTGCTTAGTAACACACCTGAGACCACACCTCCCCACTCTCTAAAACCTAGAATCCATTCTAGTTCCAGAACTCAATCCTCCCACTAAAAAAAAAAAAAACTCCTTCCAACTCCTCCTCTGTTGTCAGCCTGGAGTCAAATACACGGCACTAACTCGGCAGCTAACACAGCTAACACAGTTTCATGGCCACTAGCTAATCCACTGATTTTAATTGATCATTGAAATGCTAGCTAGAGTGGTTAGCTAGTTTGGAGGAAGTATTTAGTAGTTGTGTGAATTGCTTGCTCCCATCCCATATCCATAGGAAGTGTGACAGGCTCCTCTGTGGATGTGTGGAGAAAACAGCTAACACAGTTTCATGGACACTAGCTAATCCACTGATTTTTTATTTGTCATTGAAATACTAGCTAGAGTGGTTAGCTAGTTTGGAGGAAGCATTTAGTCGTTGCTCCCATCCCATAGCCATAGGAAGTGTGACTGGCTCCTCTGTGGAGAAAATGCCCTCCTTTTTAACTTTGTTGTCTCTCCTGTTGGCTCCCCCCACGTGGGTGGGTTTGTGCTCTCTGATTGGCTCAACGTCAAGTTATTGGCCCCACTGACGAGCCGTTGTGATTCTACAGGTAGAATCAGTAGGTTCTACTGGGTCAGCAGGGCAGAGCAGGGTACCGCTTCTGTTGTCGTCAGAGAAGGGACCGGGCCTCCCACTGTGATTCTACAGGTAGAATCAGTAGGTTCTACTGGGTCAGGGCAGAGCAGGGTACCGCTTCTGTTCTCGTCAGAGAAGGGACCGGGCCTCCCACTGTGATTCTACAGGTAGAATCAGTAGGTTCTACTGGGTCAGCAGGGCAGAGCAGGGTACCGCTTCTGTTGTCGTCAGAGAAGGGACCGGCCTCCCACTGTGATTCTACAGGTAGAATCAGTAGGTTCTACTGGGTCAGGGCAGAGCAGGGTACCGCTTCTGTTCTCGTCAGAGAAGGGACCGGGCCTCCCACTGTGATTCTACAGGTAGAATCAGTAGGTTCTACTGGGTCAGGGCAGAGCAGGGTACCGCTTCTGTTCTCGTCAGAGAAGGGACCGGGCCTCCCACTGTGATTCTACAGGTAGAATCAGTAGGTTCTACTGGGTCAGCAGGGCAGAGCAGGGTACCGCTTCTGTTGTCGTCAGAGAAGGGACCGGGCCTCCCACTGTGATTCTACAGGTAGAATCAGTAGGTTCTACTGGGCCAGCAGGGCAGAGCAGGGTACCGCTTCTGTTGTCGTCAGAGAAGGGACCGGGCCTCCCACTGTGATTCTACAGGTAGAATCAGTAGGTTCTACTGGGTCAGGGCAGAGCAGGGTACCGCTTCTGTTGTCGTCAGAGAAGGGACCGGGCCTCCCACTGTGATTCTACAGGTAGAATCAGTAGGTTCTACTGGGTCAGCAGGGCAGAGCAGGGTACCGCTTCTGTTCTCGTCAGAGAAGGGACCGGGCCTCCCACTGTGATTCTACAGGTAGAATCAGTAGGTTCTACTGGGCCAGCACGCAGAGCAGGGTACCGCTTCTGTTGTCGTCAGAGAAGGGACCGGGCCTCCCACTGTGATTCTACAGGTAGAATCAGTAGGTTCTACTGGGCCAGCGGGGCAGAGCAGGGTACCGCTTCTGTTGTCGTCAGAGAAGGGACCGGGCCTCCCACTGTGATTCTACAGGTAGAATCAGTAGGTTCTACTGGGTCAGGGCAGAGCAGGGTACCGCTTCTGTTCTCGTCAGAGAAGGGACCGGGCCTCCCACTGTGATTCTACAGGTAGAATCAGTAGGTTCTACTGGGTCAGGGCAGAGCAGGGTACCGCTTCTGTTGTCGTCAGAGAAGGGACCGGGCCTCCCACTGTGATTCTACAGGTAGAATCAGTAGGTTCTACTGGGCCAGCAGGGCAGAGCAGGGTACCGCTTCTGTTCTCGTCAGAGAAGGGACCGGGCCTCCCACTGTGATAACTACAGGTAGAATCAGTAGGTTCTACTGGGTCAGGGCAGAGCAGGGTACCGCTTCTGTTGTCGTCAGAGAAGGGACCGGGCCTCCCACTGTGATAACTACAGGTAGAATCAGTAGGTTCTACTGGGCCAGCAGGGCAGAGCAGGGTACCGCTTCTGTTGTCGTCAGAGAAGGGACCGGGCCTCCCACTGTGATTCTACAGGTAGAATCAGTAGGTTCTACTGGGTCAGGGCAGAGCAGGGTACCGCTTCTGTTGTCGTCAGAGAAGGGACCGGGCCTCCCACTGTGATTCTACAGGTAGAATCAGTAGGTTCTACTGGGCCAGCAGGGCAGAGCAGGGTACCGCTTCTGTTCTCGTCAGAGAAGGGACCGGGCCTCCCACTGTGATTCTACAGGTAGAATCAGTAGGTTCTACTGGGCCAGCAGGGCAGAGCAGGGTACCGCTTCTGTTGTCGTCAGAGAAGGGACCGGGCCTCCCACTGTGATTCTACAGGTAGAATCAGTAGGTTCTACTGGGCCAGCAGGGCAGAGCAGGGTACCGCTTCTGTTGTCGTCAGAGAAGGGACCGGGCCTCCCACTGTGATTCTACAGGTAGAATCAGTAGGTTCTACTGGGCCAGCAGGGCAGAGCAGGGTACCGCTTCTGTTCTCGTCAGAGAAGCAGTCTACAGTACCTGCAGTGAGATTCTCTGTGTGGCGCAGTGGTCTAAGGCACTGCATCGCAGTGCTAGCTGTGCCACTAGAGATCCTGGTTCGAATCCAGGCTCTGTCGTAGCCGGCAGCGACCGGGAGACCCATGGGGCGGCGCACAATTGGCCCAGCGTTGTCCAGGGTAGGGGAGGGAATGGCCGGCAGGGATGTAGCTCAGATGATAGAGCATGGCGTTTGCAACGCCAGGGTTGTGGGTTCGATTCCCACAGGGGACCAGTATGAAAAAAAATATATATATTTTTTAAAAATGTATTCACTAACTGTAAGTCGCTCTGGATAAGAGCGTCTGCTAAATGACTAAAATGTAAATGTAAAATGTTTCATGCTTTAGTATAAAGGAATATAAATGTCCCTTTTTTTGAGCTGATAAAGCTCAGTATTTGTATTCTTTATTTAATAGCCTTTTTTACTTTATCAAGGGTCAATATTCTGGACCGGACATCAATTGTTTTACTTTTAAATGAATGATATCTATATATACTGAGGGGCAAATCATTAAGAACACCTGCTCTTTCCATGACATAGACTGACCAGGTGAATCCAGGTGAAAGCTATGATCCCTTATCGATGTCACATGTTAAATCCACTTCAAATCAGTGTAGATGAAAGGGGAGGAGACAGGTTAAAGAAGGATTTTTTTAAGCCTTGAGACAATTGAGACGTGGATTGTGTATGTGTGCCATTCAGAGGGTGAATGGGCAAGCCAAAATATTTAAGTGCCTTTGAACGGGGGGTATGGTAGTAGGTGCCAGGCGCACCGGTTTGTTTTCAAGAACTGCAACGCTGCTGGGTTTTTCACGCGCAACAGTTTTTCCCGTGTGCATCAAGAACGGTCCACCACCCAAAAGGACATCCAGCCAACGGCAGGCCAGCGGTGGAAAACGGGTCATTGATGAAAGAGGACAAAGGAGGCTGACTTGAATAGTGCAGAGCAGCAGACGGGCTTCAGTTAGACGACTGACAGTCCAGTACAACGTTGGTGCCCCAAAGACCCATAAAATAATTTACACCTCATCATCCAGTATCTTGACATGAATGGGGTATGGCAGCCGACAACCTACAAGAAAACTGCGTTTGCATTGGGGCTAAGGCACTAAAACACTGGAGAATTGGAAAGACATTGCCTGGTCTGATGAATCCTGGTTCCTGCTGTTTCACGCTGATGGGAGGACTAGGGTATGGAGAAAACTACATGAGCACATGGATCCATCATGCCCGCGTGGTCCAACCAGATTGGCAGACTATAGTGGTGATTGTGTGGGGTAAGGGTTAGGGTTTAGACTGGTGGGTGATGGTGTGGGTTAGGTTAGGGTTAGACTGGGTGGGTGATGGTGTGGGGTAGGGTTAGGTTAAGGGTTAGACTGTGGTGATGGGTGGGTTATGGGTTAGGGAGGGTTTAGACTGTGGTGAAGGTGTGGGGTAGGGTTAGGGTTAGTTAGACTGGTGGTGATGGTGTGGGGTAGGGTTTGGGTTAAGGTTAGACTGGTGGTGATGGGTGTAAGGGTTAGGGTTGTAGGGTTTTAACTGTTGTTATGGTGTGGGGTAGGGTTGGGTAGGGTTTAGACGGTGGTGATTGGTGTGGGTAGGTTAGGGGTTAGGGTTAGGGTTAGGGTTAGACTGGTGGTTGATGGGTTCAGGTTTTAGGGTTAGGGTTAGACTGGTGGTGATGGTGTGGGGTAGGGTTAGGGTTAGGGTTATGTTAACTGTGGTGATGGTGTGGGTAGGGTTTATAGGCGTGGGTTGGGGTTTTAGACTGGGGGTGTGGGTGGGTAGGGTTGGGGGTTAACTGGGGTAAATGGTGGGGGGTGGGTTAGGGTTGGGGTTAATGGGGGGTGATGGGTGGGGGGGGTTGGGGTTTTAGATGGTGGTGAGGTGTGGGTAGGGTTGGGTTGGGACTGGGGGTGATGGTGTGGGGTGGTTTTAGACTGGTGGTGAGGGTGGGGGGTTTAGGGGTGGGGTTTAGACGGTGGTGATGGGGGGGGTAGGGGGGGTTTTGGGTTGGGGTTTAGAGTGGTGATGGTGGGGGGTGGGTTTAGGGTTGGGTTGGGGAACGGGTGGTGATGGTGGGGGGTGGGGTTTTAGGTTGGGGTTTAGTTTAGCTGGGGGTATGGTGGGGGGTGGGTTGGGTTTTTTTTAAAGGGTGGTGAGGTGTGGGGTGGGTTAGGGTTAGATTGGGGGGTGATGGTGGGGGGTAGGGTTGGGGTTTAGACTGGTGGTGATGGTGGGGTTA